TGAAGACTGTAGTGTGCAGATCTGTAGTGTGTAGATCTGTATTGTGCAGATCTGTAGTGTGCAGTTCTGTAGTGTGCAGATCTGTAGTGTGTAGATCTGTATTGTGCAGATCTGTCGTGTGCAGTTCTGTAGTGTGCAGATCTGTATTGTGCAGATCTGTAGTGTGGAGTTCTGTATTGTGCAGATCTGTAGTGTGCAGTTCTGTAGTGTGCAGATCTGTATTGTGCAGATCTGTAGTGTGCAGTTCCTTACAGCTGCAGCGCTAACGTTAGCTCTGATTTAGCATCGCCTCCCCTCCTCTGTTTGAATGGAGCATTGACTTGGTCTCTGCAACATTTAGATTACTGTAGACTTTGTTCAACTTGTATATAGTTACTTCTGCACGGCTTGGTCTCTGCAACATTTAGATTACTGTAGACTTTGTTCAACTTGTATATAGTTACTTCTGCACGGCTTGCACATTGGTCTTGCAACACTGATGTTCTCTACTCTATTTCACTCTGTTCTTCTAGAACTTTTTTATTGTTTCTTTATTTGCTTTATTGTTTTACGTCTTGTGTATATTTGTGTTGCACTGTTGGAGGATCCATGGACTTCAGATGTTTGTAGCCACTTTGCGTTTGATGATGAGTCTTTGAGTCTTTGAGTCTTTGAATGTTTGAATGTTCCTCAGCTTCACGGCGGAGTGTGAGCGGGAGAAGCGCGTCTGGATGGAGGCGCTGCAGGACGCCATCGCCGAGACGTTGTCGGACTACGAGGTGGCGGAGAAGATCTGGTCGAACCGCTCCAACAGGACGTGTGCCGACTGCCGGGCGCTGAACCCGGACTGGGCCTCCATCAACCTGAGTGTCGTCATCTGCAAGAACTGCGCCGGTACCTACTCTCGTCCAATCAGATCCACACACAGACCTCCTGTCATTTACAGGGAAATCACAGAGGAGCTGACATATTTTGAAATGCTGAGAAAAAAGTCAGAACTCTAAGATTTTGAGAAATAAGTTAGAATTTAGAGAAAAAAATAAGTATTTCGAAAAAAATTGAAAAGTCTTAATGAGTGACTATTATGAAATAGTGAAAATATTAAGATTTTGAGAAAAAAGTGAGAATTTTAAGATTTTGAGAAAAAAGTGCGAATTTTTAGATTTTGAGAAAAAAGTCTGAATTTTAAGATTTTAGAAAAAAGTGATAATTTTGAAATTTTTAGAAAAGTTTAAATTTAAAGATTTTGATGAAATATTGAGAATTTTAAAATTTCGTGAAAAAAGTCAGAATTTTAAGATTTCTAGAGAATTTTGAGAATTTCAAAAATCCAGATTTCTATAAAAAAAAGTCTGATTTCTGCCTTTTCAGAATCAAGTCAGTATTTTTAGAAAAAGTTGTAATTGAAAGAAAATCGAATTAGTAATATTTATATATTAGTAATAATAATGAGTTACTTTCCGAGCTCACACTTCATGCATTTCAAAATAAAGGTCACAGGAAGAGCTGCTGCTTAACTAACTAATCATTTCTTAAGACTCTTTCTGTGTGTGTGTGTGTGTGTGTGTGTGTGTGTGTGTGTGTGTGTGTGTGTGTGTGTGTGTGTGTGTGTGTGTGTGTGTGTGTGTGTGTGTGTGTGTGTGTGCAGGGCAGCACAGAGGTCTGGGAACGATGGTGTCAAAGGTTCAGAGTCTGAAGCTGGACACGAGCGTGTGGAGCAACGAGATCGTCCAGGTGAGTTCAGCTCGGAGGGTAAACAGTTCATTATCTATTCAAGAGGAAATTATATATTCACCAGTGTGTGTGTGTGTGTGTGTGTGTGTGTGTGTGTGTGTGTGTGTGTGTGTGTGTGTGTGTGTGTGTGTGTGTGTGTGTGTGTG